AAGCAAGGAGGTAAAACTCAGTGATCACCAGAGCAATGAAGAGGAGACACTGAGTGAAGCACCCAGCATAGGAAATGGTCTTGTCCTCTGAGAGGAAATCATGCAGCATGTTGGGAGTGATGTTGGAGGAATAGCAGATGTCTACAAAGGAGAGGTGGCCAAGGAAGAAGTACATGGGAGTGTGCAGGTGGGGACTGGTGCTGATCAGTGCAATCATGCACAGGTTTCCTGCCAGCGTGAGTAGGTAGACCACCAGAAACACCCCAAACAGGACCTTCTCCAGCACTGGGTCATCTGTCAGTCCCATGAGAGTGAATGTAGTGCCTAGAGTGTGATTTGGGGAGGACATTTTCTTCTTTCTTGTAAGCTCAAAGTGACAGAAAATAAGAGTTTGATCCAGATTCTGCATCTGCTCCATTCATATTATCTTTTACACCTTGACCCAATCATCTGGGACAACTGTCTGCTCTTCTCCTGAAATGCCTCATTTTAGATTACATTTTTGCATTACATTGACTCCTTATGCACTGTTTAATCTGTTTCTCTTTCCTTCTGTAACTTAAAGACATATGCTGTTTTCTTTCATTTTTGCTCTCACTTTGTACGCTTATATATATTAATATATATATGCTTATATATTCACATATTTTATGTCTTTTTAAGTTATTGCTATATTTAGTATTTTCCCCATATTTTCTTTCTATAAAAACTAAATACAAGAGAATAAGAAATTAACACCATCAGATCATTTTCTTCATTCACATTGATAAATAAGGATGTTTGCTTCCCATGTTCACTCTAAATATACCCTCATATTTTTTTAAGATGGAATAAAGGTTGAATATTAAGTTAATTGCTTCACTGGAAATCCACTTTTGTCTGATTTAAACAAAGATACTTGGAAAGTTATCTGGATATTTCTGTGTGAATTGTGCATTATCTTTGTAAATTCATCCAAGCATTTATTCATATATACTTCACATCTTGCTCTTTGCCCCTGTTCTAGGATATGAGGCTACAACAGTATTCATGTTCTACACCACCATAAAGCACAATTTGCAGAGCAGAAGGATAGATATTTCACAAGTGCTGAAAGCTATGCTTATATTGTTAGATGACAACAAGTTCTATCAAGAGAAACCAATGTGGAGTACTTTTACATGGCCAGTGGACCTTCCTAAATTGGTGAACAACTAATAAGTAATGCAATTATCTGGGGAAGAGGGTGGATTTTTGGTTCCTATATTTCTATATTCCTATATTTCTATTCTATATTTCATGAATGTCACTAACCCATTTGTGAAAAAAATTAGTTTAGAGAAGTACAGCTATTTAAATGTACCCTCAGTTTTCATCTTTATACGTTCAGTATAAAAATAAAGTTTTTGCAAAACTCACACTATGGTAAAAATTAATTCTCAAGTATTGTACCATGAGGCCATTGTTCACTAGGCTCTCACAAATACATCAAAAGAGCTTGCTAAGAATAGTGAATTCTTCAAATTCAAAGAAATACTATCATAAAAATAGCAAAGAACACAAGTGCAATGGGTGGTATATGCCTCTAATCCAGGAGGATCAAAACACGAGACCAAAATTTCAGCAACTATGGGAAGTCCTATGCTGTTGAGTGAGACCCTACCTCAAAATAAAACATAATAAAAAGGACTAGGGATGTATCTCAGTGGCAAAATGCCTATGGGTTCGATTCTTAGTACCAAACATAATAAAAAGGGGAATTGACCAATGTATTTTCCCACATAGATAGAATATGTAAAAAAACACAAGAACTACTTTGAGTTAAAAAATACAAAAAAGTCACTTACCTGCCAATATCACCACACCATATTTTGCACACACACAGTGGAAACATTTATAAAGTTTGTCTCTGGTATAGTCCCTTGAGGGTTTTTTAAAATAATTTTTAAAAAAGAATTAAAATGTGTTTGATCCTTAAGGATATAACATTAATTGATGCTCTGAGGACCTGGATTGTCCTTTGAGGTCCAAATCCCTACCTTACATTTGTTTACACCACTTGATGAGTGCAGGAAATCTTGAACACAGATAGCGAAATAAGCCATCATGTTTAGTAATTTAGATGGAAGGAAGTAGGAGTAGATAATTTTGTATATGTATTGTAGTAAAGACAAAATAATTCCCCTGGGAAGTCTACCTTGTTTTTTCCTAAACATTGAGGCAAGACCTTCTAATGAGACAGAGGACAAGAAGGTGGGGCAGGTGGAGCTTTCAGGACAGGAGATGATGGAGCCAAGAGAATAGTACTGTCATCAGCAGCAGTGGAAGTTCTGGTCAGAGCCGGGGCTCCTGTGAAGAGTTGGGCTTATGAATTTCTGCTGGAACTAGACTGATCTATTGAGTTAATGTCATCAACATGATAGGAATCACAGATGTTAGAGAAACTGGAACACTCATACAGTAACTGGAGATTTAAGAGGAAGTTTGAAAATAGCATAGAGAATAGTGGAACAGTTTAGGACAAAGCATTTGTTAGAAGAGAAGGAAGTTAGAGGTACTTTTTTGCACAGATAGTACCATGTCATTCCAATAAAATTTCTCAAATTGTAGTTTCACATTAAGCCAGATAAGGCAGGTCAATTTTGTTACAGACAAACAATGTTATTTTGTGAGAAATTAACCAATCAAATCAATATCAAAATATGGTTTTTGTATCCCTACAAAATATAAAATTTGTCAATATTTTCCATTTATTTTCTTTTTCAAGTTGAGGTGGAAAGATTAATATCAATTGTTCTCTTATTTTGATTCCTTGAATAAATAAAAATTATGCAAATTTTAAAAATAAAATCATAAGTTTATATATTTCTATGAATTGAAAGACCAAATTATTAATTAATGTGTCTAATTTCCCAACCCCTTAATAACAACCTTGTTTTTTTGGAAAGCAAGATGACAGTGTAAATGAAATTTGTCTGTTAATATTTATTTGCTATTGATGTATTAAGTTTTTATTTATTCATTTTCTGATACGTGCATATTACAATCAAACATTGTAATAAATCACAAAATTTACAGTAGATACTTTAGAACCAAATAAGACTGGCTCAATCATAACAGAATGAATATACAAAAATAGTTAATTGCCTATTCCATATCTCATTCTTTTTGTAGGCCTCACACAATCATAAATTCTTATGAGGAAGACAATGTTGATTCATTTAACAGCAATGTCTAAAACTCATAAGGATATCAAATAGCAATTTGCCATGACCAACCCTGATTTCCTTTGCCTTTTAATTTTCTTCAAGCATAGCATTTTGCATTTCAAGTCACTGTTAACTCTGTAGTTTCATTTGCATTGATGAGGTTGAATAAATTGATAGATACACATTCAATAAAATGTAAACTCTTCTCATTGTTACATACCCCATAAACAATCCATAAGGTAATTTTGTTATTCTACCTTCTAAAGTTCCTTTTTTTTAACCGGTTCTTTTTACCCTTTTCCTTTGGTTTCCAATTCCTTTCTTAGGTTCGTTTTTTTTTTCTTGAATTTTCTCATGTTAATCCACATATATTTGTCTTTTTGCTGTTGTTTTAAGAAAAAAAAAAAGAGCATATTGCCTCAGGGCCCTTGAGTTTGCTGTGTATGTGCCTTGAAACTTCTTCCACAAACACACTATGGTACCGTCCCTGCTGAGGTCTTGCTCAAAAGTTATGTCCACAGAGAGCTCTTCCACGACTCCGCCTCTCTCTAAACATTGTCTACAGTACATTTCTTCAAAGTACAGCTATATCCCTGTCAAACAGACTGACAAACAGACACACACACGTGCGCATGCACACACCCACACATAAAACAGTGGTATAAACAATAAAGTCCTCATCACTTCTATATAAGCTTAATAACATAATAAAATGTGTTTTCTTTCCTGCTACATACCTCCAGGATACATCATCTGATAGTTTTTCAATGAATATATTTTAGATGAATTGTGAATGAGGATGTAAAAGATGCTATTTCTTTTCTCTAAGCACAAGCTGAAGAATTCTAATAGAAAATTATAATTTTTAACAATGTCAAAAGCTATATTTTAAGCTTAATGGTATAAGACACTAAGGTACAGTCATTATCAGTAGTAGAAAAGGTATTGTTATTTTATTGATGTCTGAGTAATTCAAGTAGGAAAACTAATTTCTTAACCCTATCATACGTGAGGACCCTGATGCCAAGATATTGGTTTAATATATTCATCTGGCACTCAGGCGAGTAGTCAGTACTAGAGATAAATATTTTAGAATCATTACAGACTTTCTAGATCACCTAAGAATAATTTGTTGGTATCTAAAAAATATTAAAAAGAAGGAAGATCTATGAAAGCTAACTGGAAAGAATTGTACAGAAGAAAAAGAGAAAAACAGTTTATACACTACCTGGAAGACACATCCCAATGATCTAAGTTACTCTCACTAGGCCCCATCTCTTAAAGATTGTATCCCTCCCAATAATCTCACATAAGGAGCAAAACTTTAATGCACAGGGACATTCAACATGTAAACATTCAAGGGACACTCAACATATAACTGTAGCATTGTTTAAGATATTGAAAAAATATTTCTACTTCTATTGAGGTCACATACTTCATTATTCTCCTGCCTATCCCCCCAAAAAATCATTACATAAAGTCTACTATATTGTGAATTATGTATTTTAATTGGTGACTCTTTTTTGTTGTTGTCTGCTTTATTTTATTGTTTGGTACAGTTTTATAAACACGTTTTGGAATAGTTTTAAAAGAGACAATTGACATACTGATTGCCTTCTGATCTAATTTTTTCAGAGTGTTACAGTAGCGAAGACTACAAAGGGGTGTATCAAGTTAGCTAGAGGAATCAATTGTGACAAGTCATCCTGAGATAACAAGAGATGGAGACAGATAATAAATCCCTGGATGCAGTGGTGCTAAGGTCTCATGTTTCCCTGACAAGTTCAATTTCAAAAGAAAACTGCTACCACAGTTGTGGAGAGTAAATAAGCCCTGGTCATCCACTGATCTTGTGGTGTCAGCAAAGCCATGCCTGGGAAACATTCCTTGCCAAAGACAGGATGTGGGAACAGCCTTGAGAATTGGCTCTGTCACCAACATCTATCAGATGTTCCAATACAATGGATTTTCTGGTACCAGAGGATAGCCAGAAGATATTCCCAACACTTTAACATTTTAGTGCACAAAGAATTCTCTTGATAACTCACAGGCCTTCAACAATTTGCAGAGCTCTTGTAGTTCAACTTCCTGAATATGAGACCCTTTATAATAAAGTTGCTTAGCTAGTCCTGGGTCAGTTTTCCTCCATCTGAGGACAGTA